CAGTACAGTCAGTCACAGCTCCTCCAGCTTCACTTTGAGTCGAGGTGTTTGTTAAACTCACGGTCAGTGTGTGGAGCGTCGGCAGGTTGTAGGTTTCCTCTTCTCTCCTGTAGCTGGACTCACTCAGAGGACGTTTGGTTTGGTTTGGACGGTGAATGTGATCGTCTGGTTCTCAGGCTGCGTCTCTTCAGTGACTAACAGAGGTTTCCTGGTTTCTCAGGTGTGTCAGGACACGATTGTAAAAAGTAATTCAAGCCTTGGATTTGATAACTGGTCAAAAGTCGTTTGGCAGCAACAAGCTCACACCGACAAAAGACTTGGTTGTGAAATGGCTGCTTGAATATGATTGTGTTCAAAGTTCAGAGCTTTACATGATCATGGCCTCGGATTGGAGCTGCTCATCTCATCCCAACGGCTGAAGCTGACAACTGCCCCAGGGTGCAATGAATCTGACGAGGCTAACAAAACAGCATCGTCTGCAAAAATGAAATTCTAAAGTTTCCAAATTTAAGATTCTTCTTCCCCCGGCTGCACCTTGAAATCCTGTCCATGAAAATCCCAAACAGGACCAGACAAAGGGCAACGTTGGTGGAGTCCAATGGTGAAGTCCAGTTCCAGAATGATGCAGGTCTCACACTGTGCTCCTGCATTACTCTGCACTGGGCTCCCTGGGTTCATTCATACACCTTCTCCAAGTCCACAGAACCATGACCCCCCTTCACGAGGGTAAAAAGCTGGTGCACTGTTCCACAACCAGAATGGAACATGTGTTGCTCCGTCTGAATCTGACARTCAGAGACTTCTTTCCAGGACCCTGGCATAGACTTTCCCTTGGAGGCTGGGCAGTGTGATACCTTGGTAGTTTCCAGCCCCCTTTTTGAACAGGGGACCCAACTCAGCTGCTTCACTGGTACTGTCCTCTATCTCCGTGCAACACTGTGAACAACAACCCAACAACGTCCGGAGCCCTCAGCCACCTCTGCCTGGGACATGAGTGAGGCTTCTCCTGAGTCTTCAAACTCTGCATCATCCATAGAAGATGTATCGGACGGGTTCTGGATTTCCTCAAAGTGTCTTTGATTGTGTCTCAGTGGATTAAAAATGTCCTCCTCCTCTCCTCTCCTCTCTTTCCTCTCCTCTCTTTCCTCTCCTCTCCTCCTCCTCTCCTCCTCCTCTCCTCCTCCTCTCCTCTCCCTCTCCTCTCCCTCCTTCATTTCCTGAGCTGAAATAGAATTGACTTCCTGATACAAGGTTAAATGAGTTTGATGTCAATTATCTGCGGAGACAGAGAGAGAAGTCAAATTAATGTTGACTCACAGCTAAACAACATCATGGTGTGTGTGTGTGTGTGTTTTACATCTGCCAAATAGAAACTAAAACAGGACCTAAAAACCACCTCCTCCATGTTAGCAGGTGGGAGGTGGACCAAACTGAAAGAATCAAAGAAAACTTTAAATGAATGTTTATCAAAGATGGCTTCTGTCATCTTGGGAAGTTGTTTTCACAGTTATTTGATGACATAAAAACAAACAATCAGCACAAGATGTCAACATTGGTATGCAGAATGTTTGCTCTGATTCATGGTCCTGTTTTAATCATCTGCCTCTTTTCATTGTTTAACATTTGTCTGCAGAATCTGCAGATATTCAGTCTTTGCTTCGATCGTCTCTCTCTCTCTCTGAATTGTTTCCTGCGTCTCTGGCAGCCACAGAAGAATATTCCTCACGTCCCCTGATTTACGATCTCCACATCAAACGCACCTTTGGGGATTGAGGCCAAAAAGCTCAGTTTGAACTGCACAGCACTTGTTGCCAAAACCACAATGTTGCTTTGCAGACTTCAGATGTTGACATTTGTGATGGTGAGTCTTCCGTCTCACGTCCACATCTTCCACGTTGACCGTGGTTTGTTTGCACAGTGAGATGCTGCTGCACCTCCTCCTGTGTCAGCTCCTCTGCAGTCGTCCAGACTCCACATCTTCCACATCTCGACTCCTGCGGTTCCTCTTGTGTAACACTGGAATAAAATAAACTCTGACTCTGCGGCTTTTTGTCCTAATTCTGATCTCAGAAAGTGATTGTGAGGGAAAACTGATGAGGAACTGTGTGTTTGTTTTGTCAACGTCAAAATTGCAAAAGTGCAAGTGGGCTCTGAGTCATCTGGGATATTTTCTCTTATCTGTGTGTGTGTGTGTGTGTGTGTCTTTGGCCGTCCCTACTCGAGGCAAACTGCCAGTCACACCACCAGCCAGGAATCAAGAGTGTGGGCGGACTCACTCACACACACACACACACACACACACACACACACACACACACACACACACACACACACACACACACACAC